CATTCTCAGTTGCTTGGGAAGGCCTGAGAGCTACACAAACCCCAGCCTTTGAGACATTAAGAAATAAAAAAGCTGCCTCTCTGGGCAGATGATTTAGGACAAAGAGCCCCAGCCAGAAAGGTTTTAGCTCCCACTTACCCCCAGGCTTCATGCCTGTGAGCAAGGCAAACCTGATCCACTGTGTGCGTGTGTGTGTGTGTGTGTGTGTGTGTGTGTGTGTGTGTGCGCGCATTGTCACATTTTTCTAATAGAAAACAAATAGCATAAGTACATAGTAAATAAAAATCTTAGCTCATCCCCTACTGTGTTGGAGCATCTTAGGTTTCCTCCCAGAAATTTTCTATACCTACAAGCCTGTTTGTGCATTCAAAACAAAACAAAACAACATTCCCCCAGCCCTACCCCCCACACAAATAGGTACATGTTCTACTTTACACTCTGCTCAGAAAGTTCCTTTTTTCACCTTTCTTACCCTTTTTAACTTAACAATAGATCTGTGAGTCTTCCTCAGTCTTTCTACCTAGCATTCCAGGGGTACTTAACCAGCCTCCTTCAGCTGTGCAGGTGTTTCTGCCCCTTTGCTCTGTATATTGGTTTACAGTTCAGTTTGCAGGTGGCCAATCCTGTTTCCCTCACTTCCGGCTTCCTGAGGGCCACCCTGCTGCAGCCACAGGACACAGCACATCCCTCTCTCCTGTCTGAAAAGTAGAAGTGCCGTCTCCCCATGCTCCCTCTTGCTGCTGTCCTATTTTGCTTCTTTTCATGATCAGAACTCATTATTTCCCCCCAAATATAGTCTTTCTTTTCAGGTTATAAAAATGGAAACTATTCATTGGGACACACTCAAATGATACAGGAAAAGTACAAAGAAAGTGAAATTCACCCGCTATCCTGCCCCTTGGATGTTGCTGTGTTGGCTGGTGTCCTTCCAGGCGCACATAGCCATGGGCAACCTTATGTAAGTGGCATCATTACACACAAGTGAGTTTATCCTCTGCTGCCCCTTCCACCCAGCCCCACAGCATGTGGAACACAAAGATTGTTCTTGAAAGAGCTGTCTACTCCTAGATTGCATTCCTGACCTTCATGACCATAGGCATATCTGCTCCAGCTCCTACCTGTCAGTGGAAACACTCTGTGGTCACCAATGGCCTCCGTGTAGTAAGGCCAGAAGTTTGGAACCTTTCTTGAAGTCAGCTGGCAGACTGAAAGATGAGAGCCCAGAACTGGGAGGCAGGAGCCCCTATCCCAGAGATAGGCTGTCCTTTCAGGAGGCTAGCCTCTTAGGCTTCCCAGGAGTATCTGTTACCACTGAGCACTGCCTTCATGGGTTCTCTGCCACCATGCTCATCCAGTGTCCCCCAGTCCAGCCTTCTTCCCAGACACTTCTACCTCTCACCTGTTCTTTGAAGGCCAGTGTTCCTCAACCTTGGACTCACTTTTTCCCATCTGTGGTCTTTCCAGGTGACCTGGAAATGTCATTGCTAGAGACTCCCACATCCCTGTCTATACCCCAGATCTCTCCAGAGCCTCACACCTTGCGGTGCTTCCCTCTCCCCTTATTCACACGCAATTTGTTGACTTCCCCCTTTTCTAGGGTTCTCTCCTTCATGCAACCCAGTCTTCCAGGCAGTGTCCTTCCTGCCTCTTGGAGCTTCTCTACCCCAGCCTCCCCTGGATCCCACAGTATCCCTAACCTTGGCAGGCTCAGCAAACCTCCCCAGAGCTCCACCTCCTCCACCTCTTCTCCTCTCCAGAGCCTTGGTTCCAGAACCTTTCTAGTCTACCCTCCCACCAGTATTCTATTGGAGTCTCTAGGCCTGTATGCAGTGGGTATTTAAAAAATAATAATAATATGGGCATACAGTTTGTTTATTAAATCCTTACCCGAGGATATTTTTTCCGTTGATTTCTAGAGAGAGATGAAAGGGCAGGAGGAGGGGGAGTGAGAGAGGAAAAACAGCAATGTGAGAGGGAACCTACAACCGAGATACATACCCTTGACCAGAATCGAACCTGTGACCCTTAGAGTCCACAGCCAACACTTTAACCATTGAGCAAAACCAGCTAGTGCTGTAGTGGGTTTTTTTGTTTTTTGTTTTTGTGGGTGTTTTTTTTTTTTTTTTATCAATAACTACCACTTCAAAGCCTTCATCTTTAAAATGGAGATAACAATAGCACCTACCTCACTGAGAGGATTTGGGGAGGTGATCTGTCAAGTGCTTGGCGCATACTAGGTGCTTTAGAAATTTTGTAGGTGGTTATAGCTGAGAAAACAGACTGAGTGGGGAAGGGAAATGTTCCCATCCTAAACTGTAGCCAATAAAGTTATCTGGTGTAAATCACAGGTAAAATGCTACCCTTCATTTCTCAATGGATTTCTGGCTCTGAAATTAATTAGGAGAACCTGACTTTGGTGTCTCCCAGACTCAAGGCCCGTGTCCTTTAAGTCAGCTCCCAGGCAGGTGGGAGCATCCCGGGCACCAGACACTTGGCCTGCTACAGGCACTCCTCCTCCTTCACCAATTTTGGGTGGGTTACTCCCCCTTTCGAGGCCTCAGCTTCCTGTTCTATAAAGTGAAGTTTTTAAACTGAATTATTGGGGATGTCTCTTCCTCTATCCCCAGCAGTCTGAGTCTTCTTCAAATCCCTGATAAAGTATGAGTGACATTAGATTATGTAAAAATACTTAACTAGAGTTTAAGAGTCAGAGGACTCTGTACCCCTGAAACTATATGAAAAATGTGTGTGTAATGTGTAGGCATACATGTGTGAAAACTGACACCTGAGCATTTTTCTGGGAATGGCTTTGGAAAACAGGTCTGTGATCTCAAAAGATTAGTCACCAGCCTTATTTAGGCCTCATCACCTTGGACCTGGACTAGAGCAACAGTCTCCAAACTGGTCTCCCTGCTACTTTCTCTTTCCCTTCAATCTATCCTCCACCCACCACACAGGGTTTCCTAAGGTGAATGCTGACCTGCTAAAAATCCTTCCATTGGCTCCAGTTGCCTAAATTCCTTGCATGCCATTTAAAGACCATTATAATCTTACCCAGCCTTCTCCCCATACTCATATCCTGTCACACCCTAATCTATTTTCTCTGTCCTCAGCCCCTTCATGAATCCTCTGCCCTGGCCACAATGAACATTTCACGGCTTGCTGAGTGCATCAGGCACTTTCACATCTCTCTTCTTTTGCATGAGGTTCCCTGCAGTCCATCAGGCAAACCCTTATGTGGGCTTGGAAATCCAACTCAATCATCACCCCTCCGTGATGTCTTCCTGACCCAACCCCCAAATTAGGGGCATCCTTCTATGCTCCCACTCCTTTAGCATAATATTTATCCCACTATATTGTAATTGTGTGTTTGTGTCTATTTCCGCAACTACTAGTAGGTCCGAAGTTCTTCCAGGAGAGAAACCAAGTTTCCAATTGACGTGTTAATCCCCAGTACCCAGCACAGGGCCTAGAACTATGTATTTACCAGTAAAAACTATGTTAAAAAAACAACAACGATGTAAAATAATCAGTAAATTAATGAAGGAGCAAGTCATGAGCAAACAGGCTAAGGAGAAAGGATAGATACAGCTGAACAGGTCTGCCCCGCCTCCGCCCCCTGCCCCGCCCCGCCCCCAATCCACTGAACTACATAACCCAGAAGGCCCCGCGTCCTGAGCATGCGCACTGGAGCGCAAGGAAGCTGCGACGCGGAGTTTCACTCTGGCTGTCTCCAGAGAATCGGAGCCTCCGCCGGAGTTGTTCCCAGGCCCGAGGGTAGCGGTGCCCTCCTCCTGCCCCCTCGCCCTCCTCAGCCTCGGTGAGAGGGGGCGGTCAGGCCACCTGCTGGTCGCCAGGGCTGGGGTCCCGAGGGCGCGGGGGAGACCAAACTGTGCTGGGACCGGAATGGGGCGGGCGTGGAAGTGAAGGGGGGCTGGGCCGGGCCGGAGGGGCGTCCCGGGACGAGGTCAGGAGGGGATTTGGGAGGACCGGTCTCTAGACTGGGGGGCTCTGAGGTTGGCGTGGGGGGCATTGGGAGGCGCTGGGAGCTTCGACTGTGTGCTGGGTGGGAGGGTAAACGCCGGGGTGGAAGCCGAAGGGCTAGCAGGTGGAGGGGCGCAGAGCCGGGGAGTTTGAGCCGGTCGGTTGGAGCGAACCTCGTCCCACAGGACCTGGAGGAAGCGGGGTGACCCTGCCGCCAGGCTGCGGGGTAGGGTGTGGTTTCTGTCGGGGTCTGCCTCCTGGTGATCGACTCGCTGGAGCGGGGCTGTAATTTAGAGAGGACTCTGCCTCCGAACTCTGCTTTCCTGTCCCGAGCGGGGTCCGCCTTCCGGGAATCCCCTGTTCCCAGAGACCCTGGGTTACTTTTGCGGGGTTCGTAATGTATGCTGAAGAGGATTTAGAAGACTTTTTCTGGAGCTACCCTTTCATCCCGCCTTTCTCAGCCAGCTACTAGTTCCACTTCCCTAAGTGCCGGTCGCAGTGGAAATAGTGTGTGCACAGGCGCTTGGACCCTTCAGAAACTCAAAATATTTCTGCATGCCGTCCCAGCTCCTCTGGAGTTCTAGCAGGGGGGCTTTCTGGTGGCCAACATTAGGCTTTAACTTAAGCCATCGGAGTAACTATAACTAGGCCTCTGGTTCATTGCTGTGTGCCTGTGGCTAAACTTGAACCCTCTCTGGTGTGTTGATTTCCTTGATGCGTACACAGCAGACTGGCTTATAAAATCCTTCTGGGCTTTTCTATGAAAGGGCTCAGGTTATTTATTTTTTTATTATTGCTTTTGACCATTCCCTTGATTATTTGAGTGGGTAGAGGAAGACTACCGCACCGTCCGCTCTGCCTAGGGTTTCGGAAAGTAAATCTGGTGGTTTCCAGTCCCCAGTCACACGGACCCAACATCTGTGCATTCATTTTCACTAACTGCTGTTTCTCAATGTAAAACCTGATCATCTTCTTCCTTGTTGGCAGAGGTGTCTTGAAATTTGTGTTGCTGAGTCAGCAAGCCTTTCAGATTTGCCTGGGTTTTGTTGTTTGCGTTTTCTATCAAGATGGGAACTCGAACAAGTCATTTCTCCTAAGGATCGGGTGTCGCCACCAAGAAGGGACGGTTTGTGCCAGCTCTCCAGAGAGAAAAGGTGAGAGCCATGGGGACTTTACATTGCTGCCTTCTTCATCTGGTTTTCAATAGAAAAGGTGAGGACTGGGGAGGGTAGAATTTGAGATCTCCAGGATGAAAGTGAGCCCTGGGAGTAGATTGCTATTGCTCTCTCAAAGAAATTCAAGTGGCTTCTTGCCAATGACTTCTCCTGTTTAACCAGTCTTAGAGGGCGCTTTCTACATGGTCTGCACTTTAAGACATGCTTTATGGGATGAAGGACATAAGCCATGATTTCTGCATTTGAACAGGGAAATTTTTATTTCTTTTGTTGCATGAATCTTTACTGGGTGCCTCCTTTGTGTCAAGCCCCATGCTCAGTGCGGGGGGTACTGTGAGGAGCAACAAGAGCTCTGTCTTCTGGAACTTGGTTTTTTGGTAGAAAAGACAGCAAGCCATAGACAGTGACAGGTTTTGTCAGTGTGATATGCGTTGAGGAGGGGGACTCACAGGACAAAACTACCACCACTCCAGGAAGGGGGTAGGAAGGAGGGTGAGAAGCTCAGGAAGGCTTCGGGAAGATGATAGCAAGGTGAATTATGAAGGAGTAGGATTTAGAAAGTAGGGGCAGTAGCCTGGCAGAGGAGTGGGCAAAGCTGTGAAGCTACCTGGCATGTCTGGACCACTGTACATAGCTCAGTGGCTAGAGCAACAAAGGGTCGGTGTGGGATAGAGGATGCTGGGTAGGTGGGCAGAGGTCTGAGTGTGGAGGGTTTGGTGAGCCATGCCAAGGCTCCGGGGGGGGGGGGGGGGGCAGAAGGATTTTAGGGGAAGAATTCCAATTGGGGAGGGGGATCATTTAAAGTACACACTCGCCGGAAAGTGTGGGTTGGATTTGATTGGATTATTATCTTTGTGACTGTTCCTTACACCATGCCAGCTTCTGGTAAGGGGGAGATTTTGCCCTCAGCTTGATGATGAACATAGAGAACTCTGGAGGACAGACAGAATGCTGTGGAAGTTGATAAAAGGGTATTTTCTTTCAGTTGGGCACACCAAGGCATCATGGAGGTGCTATTTATTTATTTATTAACCCCTAGAGTACCGGGGCGCACGATCTCGCTCCTCCTGTCTTTTCGCCAAAAGTGCGGGGAGCGCTATCGCGCTCCTCCTGCAGTGTCCAGTTCTAAGTCTGCTTTTATTAGTGATGATGATATTGCTAAATATGTCAATTCTTGCTGTGAAGATGACGATTTTGTGGAAGATATTGAATATGTAACTTCATTTACTTGCGATTCATAATTTTTTTCCTAAACTGCTGTAAAATCAGCAAAAATGCCTTGGCAGTTTTAGCATAGTTCCTAGGATATTGGTTGGCACTCAAAGGGTTAAAATATATTTGACTGGAATCAAACCCAGGACCCTTCAGTCTGCAGGCCGACGATCTATCCACTGAGCCAAACCAGCTAGGACTGGAGGTACTTTTTTAAAAAAATATATTTTTATTGATTTCAGAGAGGAAGGGGGAGAGAGAGATGGAAACATCAATGATGAGAGAGAAGCATTGATCAGCTGCCTCCTGCATGCCCCCTACTGGGGATCGAGACCACAACCTGGGCATGTGCCCTTGACTGGAATCAAACCCAGAACCCTTCAGTCTGCAGGCCAACAATCTATCCACTGAGCCAAACCAGCTAGGGCTGGAGGTACTATTTAAATGGGGCCTTGAGAATATGGGTCAGGTGAGGGTGGGTGGCCAAGTGAATGGGATTCTGTGTGGAGCTGAGGCATAGAGGTGGGGAAATGGGATGTATATGTGGTAGTAGAGCATCACTTACAATCTTTGGGAGGGGTTGGGGAGAGGGAGGTATAGATGAAAGAGGGAATTGAAGGGAGGTGCACTGGCAAATAGGGTTGATAGAGAGGGACCAGATTGTGATGAGCTTCAGTGTCAACCCAAGGAGCTTGAACTTTATTCCAGAAATCCATGGAGATGTCGAAGAAACAGGATCAGAACTGTATTTCAGAAAGCTCAATCTTGCACCTGTCTCTGAGGTGGACTAGAAGGAGAGATAAGAGTTGGGGAAAGCCAGTGGGAAAGAATACTTATCAAGGTGAGAGGCATAAAGGTCCCAACCAGAGGGCTCTGAGGACTTGAGGAAGGAGGAGAGAGCAAGCCATGGCAGCTGCGGGGCAGTGGGAGAGAAGCTTGAGGGGGAGCAAGTCTCCCAGGTTTTTCTTCTAACTGCCTGGGTCAGAGTGGAGCCAGAGAATCTAGGAGGAGAAACAGAATTGGGAAGAAGGAAGGTGAATTTGGCTTCAGACATGTTGTAAGTACCTAAGATGCCAACAGGAAGGGGATGGTGGGCTAGGGAGAAAAGTCCCTGATTCATTCTACACATGCCTGCAGAAATTGTATGCCAGGGCTTGTGCCTGGCACTTGGAGTACAGAGATAAATTAAATGGTCTCTTTTCTGTGTTTAATTTTTACCTCAGACTTGCTTATATTTATTTACTAAGCTATTTTTAATGAATGTAGTAAGCATCTGTATCTCAGCCACTCAAAACAAAAGCTTGGGGTTTGAAACAAAAAAGTATACATCTAAGCATGCAATATTCCCATTTTCATCCTCAGATAATCATTATCCCCTTGCTTTCATTTTAATATAGGTTTATTGTACCTATATATTTCAGAGGAAACATATATAATTTAATTTTGCTAAGATTTGTCGTCCATATGATTTTATGTCATTTGTTTTTGCTACTAACATTCTATGGTGTAAGTACACCATAGTTTGTCACCTGATCTTCACTGATGGGCACTTAGTTGTTTCCAGGTTTTAGCTGTTGCAGGTGTGCTGCTCTGAACATTTCCATACACATCTCCTGTGGAACATGTGTAAGAGGTTTTCGTGGTATAAACTTAGGGGTGATAGTTTGCTGGGTCATCAGGTAAATAAACGTTCAACTTTCGTTGCTATTGCCTGACTGTTTTCGGAAGTGGTTGTACCAGTTACATTCTACCAGCAGCAGTGTATAGGACCTCCAATTGCTCCACATTTTTGCCAGCACTTGATATAGGCAGACTTTTTATTTTATTTTATTTTTTGCCAATTGAATGGATATAAAATGGTATCTTTGGATTCTTGATTTCTTTGTCTCTGAGCCCTGACATTGAACATCTCTTTTTTTCAATATTTTTAATTGATTTCAGAGAGGAAGGGGGAGGGAGAGAGGGATAGAAACATCAATGATGAGAGAGAATCACTGATAGGCTGCCTCCTGCACTGAGGTTTGAGTCTAAAACCTGGGATGGGGTGGGGGTGGGGGTGGACCTTGTGCCCTGATTGGGAATTGAAACATGACCTCCTGGTTCATAGGTTGATACTCAACCACTGAGCCATGCTGGCTGGGCTGACCATCTCTTCATCAGTTTATTGGCATATGAGTTTCTTGTGAAATATTTGTTCATGTCTCTTGCCAATTTTTCTGTGGGTTTTTTGGTGCTTTATTATTATTATTGATTTGTAGGAGTTCTTTATATATTTGTTTTAATTTTTAATGCATAAGGCAAATATTTTTTCCAGCTCATAACTTGTCTTTCTACCTTCTTTAAGGCATATTTAGTTGAATGACCATTGTTTTATTCTTTCTTTTTAAAAAATATTTGTATATGTTTTTATATTTTCAAATTGTTTTTTTAATCTTTATTGTTGAAAGTTTTACATAGGTCCCCGTTTTCCCCCCATTAACCTCTTCCAGCTCTCTCCCGCTCCTCCCCACCCAGGCCCTCACCACTCCATTGTCTGTGTCCGTGGGTTATGCATATATGCATATAAGTTCATTGGTTGATCTCTTTTATATGTTTTTATTGATTTCAGAGAGGAAGGGAGAGGAAGAGACAGATAAGAACATCAATGATGAGAGATTCATCAATCGGCTGCCTCCTGCACTCCCCCTACTGGGGATTGAGCCCACAACCCAAGCATGTGCCCTGACTGGGAATCGAACTGTGACCCCCTGGTTCATGGGTCGATGCTTAACCACGGAGCCACACCATTCTTAGTTTTAATATAGTGAAATGTATTTTTTCATTTTTAGTCAGTGTTCTGTGTCTTGTTTAAGGTATCTTTTCCTGAGCATATCCTTGCCTTGGAGAAGCCTATGCCCTAGTGGAGAGAACAAGCAGAGTATGTGCCACATAGTAGGTGCTTAATAAATGACACACCCGCTGCCTAAGAACATAGTGTGTCCACTTATATAGCCTGTATTTTTGGTTTGTTGTGAGCATTATCTTAGGTCTGTAAGCTTTTTGTAAACATTTTTCAAGACTTAAAGTCTATCATTAAGATGTACCATAATTTATTTAGGAATTTCATTTTGTAAACCAGTGTCACTCCAATACTTGCACTCAGATATTACCTGGACATTGATTGTTAAGAGTGACCAATTCTCCCTGTGTGGCAGGAGCTGATGTAGGAATAATTTCACAGTATAGAGTCTCAAGCTGGGAATTAAGAGAGGAGTAGGTGGACAGGTGGGGTAGACATACTCTCAGTGGGGTTGAGGGGCATGGAACAGCCTGGCCTCTTCTGGGTCCTTCCTTGAGTTCCTGATGGCTGAAACAGAGGGCTCATCTGAAGAAAAGATTTATGTAATCTGTGTGCGTGGCATTATAACAGATAAGAGGGTCCAGAGGAAGTGTAGAGAGGGAGGGCAGAACCTGATTTCCTTATACAGGGAAAGGTGTTAATGCCTGATATGGCTCTGGGAAGCAGTTGGGGTTTCTAGTGGTGGCGCTGACAACATGCTTCCTGCCGTGTTATTGGATGCTGTATTTCATCATCAGATGTTGGGCAAAGACCAACGTGTCTGCAGAGGGAAGGGCATGTCCTTGAGGTGGCTAGACATAGGCACTCTCCTATTTTAGTAGAAAGAATGGGTTCAGAGAAGTGGAACACAGTGATAGATGTTGGGTAGGTGGTAGGGGAGAGGTCGACACACCATGGCCCATGGGTCAAATTTGGCCCACTGCCTGTTTTTGTTAATAAAGTTGTATTGGAATTGTGTACCTGAAACCTGTATTATTTTGTAAACCAGTGTCACTCCAATAAATTCAATAAAAAGGGGGGGAAATTTATTGGGACACAAGCACTCCAGTTAGTTTACACATGGTCTATGGCTGTTTTTGCATTTAGTACCAGAGTTGCATAGTTGCAACAGGCACCCTTTGTTCTGAAAAGCATAACATAAGTAGTTTCTGACCTTTTATAGGAAAAGTTGGCCAACTCCTGCCATGGGGAGTCATGGTAACTGTGGTAACCTGGAGAATGTGTACTAGCAAGTTGTTTCTGGATGAATAATGAATCTAGGTCAGGCCTGCAAATGCTGCCAACTTTTCTGATTCTCAAGAAGCTGGAAATCTGGATTAAAAATGTTTTATTGATTGATTGATTCTAGAGAGGAAGGGGGAGAGAGAGAGAGACATCAATTTGTTGTTCCATTTATTTATGTATTCATTGGTTGCAGTGCTGTGGACAGGGATTTGCAGCTAAATCCCACAAGAGAACACAAGGGAAAGCAGGATGGTGGCTTTTTTTTGTGGTCACAGCTGTTGATATAAAAAAAAAATTTTTTTTTTGTTTGATCATACAAAGTAATATGGCCACCGTAGGACATTTGCAATTGTAGAAACAGGTAAAAAAATTCTACAATTCCATCACTCCAATTAATATTTCAGAGTGGTTCCTTCTGGCCTTTTGCAAATTATTTTATATAAGGTAAAAAGATCATGGGCTTTATGGTGTCACAGATTGGCCGCCTGACCTTGGGTAAAATTCTTAATTTCTTTTGGCTTCAGTTCCCTTGTGTGCAAAATGGAAATAATTTCTATTTTCAAGGGTGGTTGAGGGTTGAGAGAACTGGATGACAAAAGCACCAAGCAGAGTATGTGCCACATAGTAGGTGCTTAATAAATGACACACCCGCTGCCTAAGAACATAGTGTGTCCACTTATATAGCCTGTATTTTTGGTTTGTTGTGAGCATTATCTTAGGTCTATAAGCTTTTTGTAAACATTTTTCAAGACTTAAAGTCTATCATTAAGATGTACCATAACTTATTTAGGAATTTCATTATTTTAAGGTGTTTAGATTGTTTCCAGATTGAGGATTTCTTCCTTGCTCAATAATAATAATAATAATAATAATTTTAATAATTAAGAACACTAAATAGGCCTGTCATTAGGAGCTGAAACAAATTAGGTTTTTGAACAGTAGCTCCCCAATGGCTGCGGTAGCTGTACAAAATGGGTGCATTGTGCATAATATAGGGCTGCTATATGTGCATAATTGCTGTGTTCAAGTTGAACGCCCGTGGCCATTTCTGGTCAGTGCCTCAAACGCCTGGCCCCTGCAGCTGAAGGTTCACCTCTCTTTTGCCCTCTTGTGTATCAGACCCTCTGGAATATTAGATATTGAAGAGCTGCAGTTGCAGCTTTGGGTCAACCCTAGGTCTGCCCTTGGAACTCCTGTTCCAGTGGGGAGATAGACACTAAGACCAAGCATAAGTGGAATGTGTGTGAAGACACTGATGAGGGAGGAGGTCAGAGGGCTCAGGAGGAGGGTGCTGTGGCTGAGTTGGAAAGATGGACAAATTTGCTTAGTGCTTAGGTGGAAAGAGGACAGGAGTCTAGACATGCACCAGCAGGATCAATGGCTGGGAGATGGAAATGGCTCTGAATGTTCTGGCATTTGCTAGAATTTAATGTGACTAGACATAAGGTGGAGGCCTTGCAATGAGTGGGGACAGCAGCTGAGCACAGAGGGGCTGTGTGCCATGACTGTTGCATCTCCGGGTCTCCAGTACACAGACAGGCCTGGACCATGGTGGTCTCAGTCTATGGAGACTGAACACTTTTATGAAAAAAGTTAGTTGAAGTTCTCACCTGTATTTCTCAGGCTGTTTGGCAAAGTTGTACGAGTTGGTTCATCTGGGAATCTGTGGACATACTATGTGTGCTGATATATAGGAGGCTTCTGCTGCCTGAGAGGTGAATGATGCCTGCCAGGAGTTGCCAGGGAAGTCTGGATTTAGGAGTAATTGGCTCTGAAACTGGTCCTGGGATTTGTACCGGATGTAGTTCCAGAGACTTCTAATTGCAGGCGCTGAGCTAATAAGCCCGCCTGCTATCCCAAGGGCATCCCAGGTCCAGTCCTCCAGTGCGGGACGTGTCCTTTTATTGGAGCAGTTGGCAGCTCAGTGGCAGCCTTGGCACGCACAGGTGTGCTCAGTTATTGCAGGTCTGACTCATCGCCTGTGTTCTCCTGCTTTGTGGCTCAGTGCTGCCGCAGGCTGCCACTCCTCACCCAGACTTGAGGGGTGCGGAGGTACTGGGGTTGAGGGGAGCAGGCGAAGGGAGGGAGGCCAATATTTGCTGATACCTGCTGTGTCCCTGGTGCTTTGCTGGGTTCTCTATACACATCTATGCTTTAATCCCCATGAAAAGCACTTAGAATAGATGTTGGTATCTTCATTTCCAAATGAAAGAAAAATAAAGCAAACTTTGCCGAAACTGGTTTGGCTCAGTGGATAGAGCGTCGGCCTGCGGACTGAAGGGTCCCAGGTTCGATTCCGGTCAAGGGCATGTACCTGGGTTGCGGGCATATCCCCAGTGGGAGATGTGCAGGAGGCAGCTGATCGATGTTTCTCTCTCATTGATGTTTCTAACTCTCTATCTCTCTCCCTTTCTCTCTGTAAAAAATCAATAAAATATATTTTAAAAAAAAAAGAAAAGAAAAATAAAGCAAACTTCAAGAATTGAGGTACCTTTATCAGGATGATACCTGAATAGAGTCAGTCAGCAGCATGTTGACACCAGAGCCCATGCCTGTTCCTTTTCATGTGTTGCTCCAGATCTACCTTCCTTTTGGGGCCTTCTTATTGAAACCCTGACGGTGTAGTGCAATATTAGGGATGTCAGCAAAAGCCCAGGGTCCCAGCCTTATTACTAGCCTTATAAGCAAGTCACTGCAACTGACTGGGCCTCAGTCTCCTTATCTGCAAAAGGGGGATAAATTTCAATGTCTGTACTTAAGTGGTTTGTATGGGAATCAGAGTAGATGGTATGACTGGGAACCCTGCTGGCACCAGGCCTGCATGAGCATGCTATAACAGACTTGAGGTGTGGGTTCCTCTCTCTGTTCCTCATTCCCTGTCTCTAGGTGGGCTCTATAAGTGGAGCCCAAGGTAGAGTTCAGGCTAATCTTTCTTCTCGAAGAAAATGGGTGTCAGAGCTGGATTGATCTGGGATTACTCTCAGTGCTGACACTTAGCAGTATGTGTGTGACCCTCAATAAGACCTTGACCTCTTTGAGCTTTGGTTTCCTGTCCATAAAGTAGAAGAAAAAGCACCTTGTTGGTCTGTTAGGCTTAAATGACACAAGCACATTTGGTGTTTGCCACTAAATGTTGGTCCTGTTCCTCACACACTCTGGGGAACCGCCACGACATAGTGCATTCACAGATTTTTCTCCTTCAAACAGCTGCAGGTGCATAGGACCATCGTCCCCGTCCATTCAGCTGTGTTTTGAATTAGCATGTGTATAACACTTTGTGACAAGGCCTTTGCTGGGGCTGGTGATATGGCTTTGGACAGGGCAGACTCACCAGGTTGCTGTTGGTGGGGAGAAAGGGGATAGAAAGACACAGAACATCATCATATACATACATGTATATGGGCATAGAATACTGGCCGGTGCTGTGAAGAAGGAATTCATGTTCTGGGTGGCTTGGGAAAGGCTCCCTGAGTGACAGGCTGGGCCTGAAGGATGAATAATAGAGTGTACAAGGGAAGAAGATGGGCTGGGGTGACTCGGAAAAGAATGTCTTGGAAGATGGGTGTAAACTCTCTGGACCTGATCCACTGGTCAGTGAGGCCCAGGCACAGGGAATGGAGTGCAGAGACCAGGCTTCAGCAGGCAGGAGATTTTAGTGTTTATCAAGGGCATCCTTCATGGTTAACGATGCCTCCTTGGGCAGCCTGGAGACTCAGTGGAGCTAGGACCCGTGCTGTGAGTCTAGTCTCAGCCTGCCATTGAGTCCCTGTGTCCTAGAGCCCTGGTCCTTTTTGAGACAGTTTCCTTTTCCCATCTGTAGCATGGGAGAAAACAAACCTGCTTTGGAAACCATAGCATCCTCACACAGGTGTAAGGGGTCATGATAACCTCAGTCCATTAGGGGTTTGGGGTGATTCATGAAAACACATACAGTATAAAAGGATACATTTAGTACTGGGTCAGAGGGAAGTTGTTGGTAAAAAGACAGAAGCTGGGCTGATGATCACCTAAAATTCACTTCACTGTATCTTCCTGAACATTTGCAGAAGTAGGTTGGCTGCTAGATTGACTAAATTCTTCCTGGCTGCCTGAGCAAAGAGACAAGGTTGGGTACTTGATTCAAGATGCTTTAAGATATTAAGGGAAAGTGACTATGGAAAAGCATGATTTTTTCTCTGCACTGAGGCTGACTCTGGCAGAGCCATTGTGTGCATTGGTCACTGCTTGTTTGTCCTGTTTACAGGTCTGCTGGAAACACTGGGCAATGAGCCGGAGACACCAGCCCGGAGTGGTCTGAAGCCATTTGGGAAAGCAGAGAGATCCTGGGGAAGATGGCCATGGCCCCAAGCTCTTCCTTGGCTCAGGTGTACACCAGCCCTGTGGCAGTGGTCGTGTGGGAGTGGCAGGATGAGATGGGCACCTGGCACCCCTACAGTGCCACTGTCTGTAACTACATCGAGCAGCAGTTTGTCCAGCAGAAGGGCCAGCGCTTTGGGCTGGGGAGCCTGGCCCATAGCATCCCCTTAGGCCAAGCTGACCCCTCGCTGGCCCCTTACATCATCGACCTCCCCAGCTGGACCCAGTTCCGCCAGGACACTGGTAAGACATGTTCTGCTTCTAGTATGTATCCAAGCACCTGCTTTGGGTCAGCTGCCACACTAGATGTTGAAGTTACAGAATTGACTCTCAGAGCTTAGTCCTGCCCCTGATATGCATACAGTTGGGAGGTGGGTATTGTGAGTGATAGCAGGTACCACACAATGTGCGATGTACAGTAGGTCTTCACTTAACATCGATAGGTTCTATGACTTTAAGTGAAATGATGTATAACGAAACCAGTTTTATCACAGGCTAATTGATATAAACAAGAGTTAAGTTTCTGTGGCATCCCATCAACATTTTAATGAGATAATGCTATTTGAGTCGCTGCTGTACCTGTTAGTAGTAGAGGGCGCCTTGGGAGCACAGTGCAGAGGCCCTCACAGCCCCTTTCCCAAACCAAAAATGCCTGTTTGTACCTGCAGAGATTTGATGATCTCGCTGTCAGGCGGCTAGCATGGAGGTGGTGTGCTGTGCTAGTTTTGGCTCCAGTGCACCGTAGCTGTGTGACCTGGGCAGGTTACTTCACTCTCCTGTGCACGTGTGTTTGGTTTTATTATAGGTTTTGATCGGTATTGCTGAGAATGGGGCCAACAACTTCCTCTCAGAGTTTTCCTTGTTCCTCTAGCCCAGCGGTTCTCAGCTGGGGGTGATTTTGTCCCCCAGGACATTGGATAATGTTTGAAGACAGTTCTGATTGTCATGACTGTGGGGCAGGGCACTTCTGGCATCTGTTGGATAGAAACCAGGGATGCTGCTAAACATCCCATTGTGCGCAGGACTGGCCCCGTGACAAACAATTATTACCCAGAGTATCACTTGTTTCAAGGAACCCTGCTCTGGTCCCTGTAGCAGCATCCTCAGGCTAGTGAGACTAAAGCTTCCAATCAGTTAGATGCAGGTGAAAGTCCCTGCCTTCATGATGTTTGCAGGAAACTGAGAAAGGTGGCACACAAAATAAATAATATGTGCATTGTGTTTTATGTTAGATAGCAAGCAGTAAGTGTTAATCGGAGTGGAAGTGAGGGTTGGGAAAGGTTGATTTGAAGTTTGAGCTTCAGTGGCATTGGCAAGGGACAGAGAGAGATTGAAGGAAGGGCAGGAGAGGGGCAAGTTCTGCAGTGCTTTTCAGTCTCTCAGAGGGACTGCTTTCATTCTGAAAGAGGGAGCCAAGGAAGGATTAGGGCAGAGGAGTGATGTAATCTAATTTGGAGTAAAGAGCATCCCTCTGGCTGCTGTGGATGGAGGTAAGGGCTGCTGCAGTCGAGAGACCAGGTGCAAGGTAATCGCAGTGATCATCTTTTGGCAAGTGCTTAGAAGCATGTCCTAAATTTATTTTTTTCTTTTTCTCCGTAATCTTCAGGTTTGATTTTATTTATATAAGCTAAGCTAAGCCCAGGGTGTTACCCAATATTTGCTACTTAAGAAGTCAGAGGAAATGGTACATCCATGTAAGAGAATTATGTAACAATAATAAGTTTTACAAAGTTTTAGAGAAACATAAAATACTTCTGGCATAATATGTGAAAATAGCAGGAAAGTTTTTCAGTATGATTCTCAGCTACCTGGATGTGTGTGCCTAGATGGGAAGAAATGCATTGCAGTATAAATGATGTGCTTTCCTTTGGTGGTTAGATTATGGATGATCTCATTTTCTTTATACTTTTTTGTTTCAGTTTTTTAAGTGAAGCTGCATAGGTTTCATCATTAGACATATTTTTATTTATTAATTTATTTTTTAAAATCCTCACCAGAGGATATTTCTTCCCCCCCTCCCCCATTGATGTTTAGAGAGAGTAGAAGGGAGGGAGGATGGGGGGAGGAGGGGAGAGAGAGAAAGAAAAACACACCCATGTTCTCACGTCAGTTGGTTGCATCCCACATACCCCGACCAGGCCAGGGATGGAACCTGCAACCCAGATACGTGCTCTTGACTGAGAATCGAACCCGAGACCCTTCGGTGTGTGGGCCGATGCGCTAACCATGAGCAATGCCGGCTAGGGCTAGAAATCGTTTTTAAAGCCTCATTGAGTCTGAGCCATAGCAGTTCTTTGACCTAAACTTTCCGCATCCCCCACTCCTGCCCAGGAGCATGGATCCCCCGCTGCTACCTGATCCTTTTGGGCCACAGGTTTTTTATCTAGAGAGGGCTCTCTATCCTTCACCCAAAAGTTGGGAAGAACAACCAATGCCAGACTTTAGGTCAGATGGCACCATGACCCCTATATATACTGTGATCATATTAATTTAACTTGGTTGTAGGAGAAAATAAAACTCCATTTGTTTGGGGGTGCTAGCAGATTAACCATTTATATGTAATATTCCTTACAAAACAGGCACCATGCGGGCTGTGCGGAGGCACCTGTTTTCCCAGCTCTCAGCCCCGGGCCAGGGCATTGTCTGGGAGTGGCTGAACGACGATGGCTCCTGGACAGCCTATGAAGCCAGCATTTGTGACTATCTGGAGCAGCAGATGGCCAGGGGCAACCAGCTTGTGGACTTGGCACCTTTGGGGTACAACTACATCGTCAACTATGCCACCCAAATACAGACCAACAAGGTTTCGAACTACTGCCGTAGCGTGCGGCGCCAAGTAGGGCCCCCTTACCCAGTGACCACCATCATCGCTCCACCAGGCCACATGGGAGTCGCCTGCTCTTGCCATCAGTGCCTCAACAGTGGCGGAACTGGCCCTGTGTCAGGTCGCTATCGCCACTCCATGACCAGCCTCCCTGCATACCCTACTCCTCAGACCCCCCAGAGGACTGCTGTTATCTTTGGGGCCCACCAGGCCTTTGCCCCATACAATAAACCCTCACTCTCTGGAGCTAGGTCTGCACCCAGGCTGAACACCACCAACCCCTGGGGTGGGGTGCTGCCCTCCTTGGGGAACCAGCCCTTTTACTGCTCCAGCCTCTCCCACCTGGGACCTCAGCGCCAGCCCCCAGGATCATCCACTGCCAGTGGAGCCAGGTATCTTGTGTTATTGAGGGTCGTTTTGTCCACCTGTGTACCTTGTCAGCAGGCTTGAGTTTTGCTTTTCCTTAGCTGGGAAGACTCACCCAAATAGCTGCAGACTTACACCTGCTTCTGTTGTTGTTCCTGCTATGTCATCTCCTTTGCATGTGCCTTGTGGTGCCACAGCTGTCCACAGCCTTGCATCCCACAAAGCCTTGACCTCTGGGACTTGAGTGTTGATAATTGCCACACAGGTTAAGACCCGTAATCCCTCCATTCACTCAGGAGAATCGCACTCTCTCTGTAGAGCAGCTAACCACTTTTGACTGTGCCTGTGTGCCATGTAGCTGGTAGCATGTGCCTGAGAACATTTCACTGACATTTCACCTCATAGACATGGAAGGTTCAGTCCCCTCCCTAAGTCCACAGTCTTGCCCAGGAGAAAGTTTTGAGCTCAGCTTTGGTTGAGGGGAGAGCAAAATGTTGGGGAGGAGCACTTAGGAGGTGGCAACGGATGACATAGGACAGTCCCTCTGTGCTGATGCATTCCAGCCCGCTGTCTCTCAGAGCTCTCTGCACCTGAGAAACAGGCCCCATCCAGACCAGTTGGCACTTAAAAGTGAGAAAAGTTCCTGGAGTGGCCAGTTGGGCTGTGCTCCTGGGGTGCTCAGACACCTGTCACTGACAAGGGCCTTGTCATTGATCATTACTGAGAGTGTTGGGTTTGGAGAACATTTTGAGAATTCAGAGTGGTAGTTGGGATGGGGGCTGATTTCTGAGATAGGGTGACCTGGGCAGGTAGTGACTGGACATGTGGGCCCATGGCTGCCCTATTTCTCAGGGAGTCAGCATCTTGTTGATTTGCACTGCTGTGAGCCAGTCAGCATCTTGTTGTTGCCTCACTCACCCAGCTCCATCCCTGCCCACTTGACCACAGTGAGGGCTGAAGCTTTCTAGGGTGGCCAAGGCCTTGGCAGCATTTTTTAAAGCTGGGTTTCAGAGGACCCTGCCAACTTCTAGCAGACACAGTGACAACTGCCATTCACTGAGTACATGTTAAGCCAGTCCCATTGAGCAGGCTCTGTGAGTGATTTCATTCATCCTCATAACAGCCATGTGGTGAGTGGTGTCCTCAGCTTACGGGTGAGAACATTGAGGCTGACGAGGTTGGCAACCCAGCTAGCCAGTGGCAGAGCTGGGATTAAAACGAGGCCCCAGAGTGGGCCATGTGGGACACATGGGGCTCCTGCAGCTCTCTTAAAGGCAGAGGAGAGGAAGATAGACGGTATCTGGAGGGATGAGTGTGGAGGAGTCCGACAGACAGGAGAGGAATGGGTCCTAGGTGGTCAGGGCATCTTCTTGGGCATTTTCTCCTGAGAGTTGGGGCATGTGGATCTAAGATTTTTCTGGGAATTGGGAGCACAGGGAGGTTTTACTTGAGCCTTCTCTGTGGACTTTACACAGACATTAGCAAGTAGGACTCTGTGCGAGCCCAATTCCACCCAGTGCCCTTTTGAGGCCCCTCCAATATGTGGGTCAGTCTCTTTTAGAGAGAAGTGTGCTATATCTGCCAGCCCAGAAGGATTATCCGTAGGGCTAGAGCTTCTACTCGTTCGGCTTTGCCTAGCCTCCTGGGCTTCTTAAGTTCTTACAAATTGTTTTAAGGCAAACTTCTGGATGATTCTAGAGGTGGGGTTCTGGGACTGAGCCAGGCAATTTATAAGCTTGGTTGCTTTCTCCCAGTACAGGGCTTCCATTGCTTTCACCTCCCCAGCCTGAGGCCTGAGAGACTGTTGATGTGGGCCCAACTGGTACAGGCCAAGCAAGTTGCTGAAGGGAAAGTGGCTGGGCCAGACGGTCTTACCTTTATTGATGGGCCATGCGTGTTGGTGCTTGTTCTGTATTGTAAGCCAGGAGGTAACCAGGCCAGCTGGCTCTGTTAGTTGAAACAGCCTCAAAGGGACCTGCCTCCTAAGGTGGATGTTCATCTTTATCTCCTACAACTTTTTGGGAACTGGGAGGGGTGATCCTTACTTGCATGGGCCTATCCTCACTTAGAGAAACTAGGTTTTCCTGTATCTAATTTGTAGTGGGGCCCTCTTCAGTTAACCCTTCTCTGATGGGTGTTGTAGAGCCAGAGGGGGCTTAATAAATGGCTGACTTCTTAACCCACTGAGGGTGGGAGGATTGAAAACACTTGGCAACTTGGTCTCCCTAGGGTCTGTGGTATAGTTCTTGAAGCCACATGAATGCCAACGGCATTAGGTGAAAGTTACCATGTTTGTGGAGGAGAGGAGAAGGCAGCAGGACAGGCAGTGCCATGCACTGGGGAAGCCTGAGAACCAGCTGTGTTTAGTGGTAGCCACTGGAAAGAACACATAGTAAAATAAAAATGTGTGGAACCCATGTGGCTTCAGATAGCTTCTTGCTCAATCTGGGTAAAACCTTGGCTGACTGATTTCCTTGTGCCCTGAGAGGCTTTCTGAGTAGGCAGCAGTGCATGGAGAAGGTACACGATTTGTTACTGAGCTGCTGGGTTTATGTAAATTTCCTGGTCATTGAAGTTTATCCCTGTAAGCACCAGACTTACGTTTTAATGATGTTGGATGGAAAACTTTCCAAAATGTGTCATGCATACTGTCTTCTTTAATAGAGGGTGTACCGGCTTGTGCATTTTAATGACTTGAGGTGGTGATTATGCCCAGCAGCCTGTTGCTGCTCTGGTGTGACTAAGCCTCGGCACACTTTGTCTCTGCACTAAGCAGCCCTAGAAAATGGCTCTTGCAGTTTGCTTTCATTTGTTCTGTTCTTACTGCCTGTCTCCCTCCCTCTAAGGCAGTGGTTCTTAACCTTCTGGCCCTTTAAATACAGTTCCTCATGTTGTGACCCAGCTATAAAATTATTTTCATTGCTACTTCATAACTGTAATGTTGCTACTGTTATGAATTGTAATGTAAATATCTGATATGCAGGATGGTCTTAGGCGACCCCTGTGAAAGGGTCATTCGACCGCCAAAGGGGTCGCGACTCACAGGTTGAGAACCGCTGCTCTAAGGGCGCCCTACTCCCTCCTGCTGCTGGCCAGGCTCTTTAGGTTTGTGTGATTTGAAATCCTGGGTTCCAGGTGGGACTTTCCTCCTGACTCACTGCAGGTTTCTGGGCCAGCTCTGTTACCTTTCCAGGTCTCTCTTTTCACCTCTTAAAATTAAGTAGGTGGGTTGGCCAGTTTCTGAAGTTTCCTTTTGCTCTAATATTGCTGTTGGTTTCAGGGTTTAGTGAGGGCTCTGCAGAAAGGTGTTCGGCAGCCCGTCGGCTTTCCTGTACCCTTTGCTCCTCTGAGACCTGGAAACAATGGGTGCTGATCAAGCCTCGTAACTGCCCTGGGGGCTGTTTGGAATTATTTTCATCTTACAGGTAGAGAAATGGAAGCTCCGGAAGGGGACTCGACATGCCTAAGGGCACATAGCTTTAAGCAGGAGCAGACACTGGAGGTGGGGTGTCAGATTCCGCATCTGCCGCTCCTTGTCCTGTACATGCTGGTTGGTGCTGGCTTCCTGGTCTTTGGGAAGCTGCTGGGAGGCCTTTCATTTCCTTACTCTTCAGCCTCCTAGTGCTGCCCCTTACCTGGGACTGTCAAATTCTGTCTGTCCTCATGTGTCATGTTCTCATCTCCATTGGGAAGCTCCAGGAGGTGGTCTCAGACAGGAAGGCCAGGTAGGCTTAGTAGGTAGACCCAGGAAGGTGAGAGGCAGAGAGGGAGGCTTGAGGCAGTGACTGAGGGAATTCTCAGAGAAGGGCACTGCACACGATGCCCCACAGAGGGAGCCTGCTGTTAGTCTGAGCCCTTTGAGGATGATGGAATGGATCGATGACCACCAAGGTTCTGTCCACTCTTGGGACTTCCCATCTTGGGAACCACTAGATCCTTTTTCTGCTTCACACTCTCTGATCAGAGCAGGGAAATGGGGGGAGGAGCTAGGATAATTCATGGGGGAAGTGGCCACATTGGGAGACCCCTAAGCAAATAAAACTTAGTCATGATTCCTGGTTCTTGGTCCCTGTTCCAGGGTGAGTTGCCCACTGGAAGCCTCATTGCATATCTGTTTTCTGCTCTAGTTTTTGAGGGGATGAAACACAAAATTAGGTCCTCTCCCTTGGATATATGCCTCCCTCTGGTGAAGGAAGACCCCACTTCCTGGAGCCCCTCTGGGCCGGTCGTGCTGAGCCCACTCAGTAGCCCATTAATTTTGTGCCATTGTAGAGCCAAGCTTCAGCTTTCTGGCTTCCTGGTTAAGGGCTTGGGAGTTGAAAGATGACTGGGAGGGCTATATCTTCTTGAATTCCTTCATTTACAGAACCTGAGAATTGCAGAAATAGCTGGCTCTTCAACTGAGGAAAACAGACCAGTGAATGTTGATGAAGCTATAAGATTAATTGCTCAGTTGTAATGCACCTAGTGATGCATCAGATTCCCCCCAAAGACCAATAAATTAAATGCTTTATACAACGGCTTAGCCTGGTCTGTGTGGCTCAGTGGTTGAGCATCGACCCATGAACCAGGATGTCAGGGTTCGATTCCCAATCAGGGCACATGCCGGGTTGTAGGCTTGATCCCTAATGTGGGGTGTGCAGGAGGCAGCCAATCAATGATTCTCTGTCATCATTGATGTTTCTCTCTCCGTCTCCCTTCCTCTCTCTAAAATCAAAAGTGCATTTTTAAAAATATTTTTATTGATTTCAGAGAGAAAGAAAGAGGGAGAGAGAGATAGAAACATCAATGATGAGAGAGAATCATTGATTAGCTGTCTCCTGCACGCCCCCGCCCCCGCCCCCGCCCCCCCCCCCCCCCCCCCCCCCCCCCGCCTCCACTGGGGATGAGCCGGCAGCCTGGGCATGTGCCCTTGACCGCAATCGAGCCTGGGACCCTTCAGTCCGCAAGCCGATGCTCTATCCCAGCCGTGGGCAAACTATGGCCCTCGGGCCGGATTCGGCCCGTTTGAAATGAATAAAACTAAAAAAAAAAAAAAAAAAGATCGTACCCTTTTATGTAATGATGTTTACTTTGAATTTATATTAGTTCACACAAACACTCCATCCATGTTTTTGTTCCGGCCCTCCGGTCCAGTTTAAGAACCCATTGTGGCCCTCGAGTCAAAAAGTTTGCCCACCCCTGCTCTATCCACTGAGCCAAACCAGCCAGGGCTCAAAAGTGTATTTTTAAAAAGATATAATGGCCTAAAGCCAAATTAGTGACTTGAACTTAGTCACTGTGAGAAGCAAGACCTTTTTTTTTTAATCCCTTAATTTTGAACAATTTTATATTTACAGAAAAGTTACAAAGAGTAAAGAGAGTTTCCATATCTCCCGTACCTGACTTCTCATGTTAACATCTTTCATAACCATAGTGCAGTTTTCAGAACCAAAGAATTATCATTGGTGCAGTACTATTCATTAAACCAGTTTTCAACCACTCATCTCATTCTGTGTCTCATTCTTTGCATCCAGTTGTCAATTCTCCTCTTTCTACCATCGTGACTATTCCTTGGTCTTTCTTCATCTTCCTATAACCCTGACACTTTCATAGTTACTTTGTCAAATGTCTCTTAAGTTGGGTTTGTCAGATGTTTTCTCATAATTTGGACTGAGTTTTTGCAATCTTGGCAGGAACTGCAAAAATGGTGATGTGTCCTTGGAGCATTGTTTCTTGGGGTTCCTGATACTGATTGATCATATTAATGGCAATGTTGGTCTTGATCACTTATTAGAGTGGCTTCTGCTGGATTTTTCTTCTACAGCTACCATTGAGCTCTCATTTTTGTGTGTGTGTGTGCTTATTATAGTTTGATTTTTTTTTCATGTTTTTTTTTAATCTTTATTGTTCAGATTATTACAGTTGTTCCTCTTTTTTCCCCCCCATAGCTCCCCTCCACCCGGTTCCTACTCCACCCTCTACCCTTACCCCCCCCCCACTGTCCTCATCCATAGGTGTACGATTTTTGTCCAGTCTCTTCCCGCACCCCCACACCCCTTTCCCCCCGAGAATTGTCAGTCTACTCCCTTTCTATGCCCCTGATTCTATTATATTCGCCAGTTTATTCTGTTCATCAGATATTTTATTCATTTGATTTTTAGATTCACTTGTTGATAGATATGTATTTGTTGTTTATAATTTTTATCTTTACCTTTTTCTTCCTCCTCCTCTTCTTAAAGAATACCTTTCAGCATTTCATATAATACTGGTTTGGTGGTGATGAACTCCTTTAGCTTTTCCTTATCTGTGAAGCTCTTTATCTGACCTTCAATTCTGAATGATAGCTTTGCTGGATAAAGTAATCTTGGTTGTAGGTTCTTGGTATTCATCACTTTGAATATTTCTTGCCACTCCCTTCTGGCCTGCAAAGTTTCTGTTGAGAAATCAGCTGACAGTCGTATGGGTACTCCCTTGTAGGTAACTAACTGTTTTTCTCTTGCTGCTTTTAAGATTCTCTCTTTGTCTTTTACTCTTGGCATTTTAATTATGATGTGTCTTGGTGTGGTCCTCTTTGTATTCCTTTTGTTTGGGGTTCTCTGCCCTTCTTGGACTTGTAAGTCTATTTTTTTCACCAGGTAGGGGAAGTTTTCTGTCATTATTTCTTCAAATAGGTTTTCAATATCTTGCTCTCTCTCTTCTTCTGGCACTCCTATAATTCGGATGTTGGTATGCTTGAAGTTGTCCCAGAGGCTCCTTACACTGTCTTCATGTTTTTGGATTCTTTTTTCTTTTTGCTTTTCCAGTTGGGTGTTTTTTACTTCTTCGTACTTCAAACCTTTGACTTGATTCTTGCAATCCTCTAGTCTGCTGTTGGATCTCTGTATAATATTTTTTATTTCAGTCAGTGTATGCTTAATTTCTAGTTGGTCCTTTTTCATATCCTCGAGGGTCTCACTAGACTTACTGAGAGTCTTACTAAATTTATCGGCAGTTTCTAGAAAATTCTTGAAAAACCTTATAACCATGGTTTTGAACTCTATATCCAGAAGTTTGCTTTCCTCCATTTCTGTCATTTGTGACCTGTTTCTTTGTCTCCGCATTTTGGCTGCTTTCCTGTGTTGATAGAGTGGCTTTCTGTGCTAGGTGTCCTATAGGGCCCAGTGGCTCAGCCTCCCCAATTACCTGAGGTGGACACTCTTGGTGCACCCCTTTGTGGGCTGTGTGCACAGTCTTGTTGTAGTTAAGCCTTGATTGTAGTTGGTATCACTGGGAGGAATTGACCTCCAGGCCAATTGGCTGTGAGAATCAGCTGTGTCTACGGTGGGAGAACTTCTGTGCTGGAGACACCCTTATGGGGCAAGACTTGTTTCAGTGGGGCTTTGGTGCTCACTGAGTCTGTCCCCTGAGTGTGTCCCTTATGGATCTGAGGTGTTGTAATATGGATGGTCCCACTCTGACCACTGGGTACACTGGCTCTTGGATCTCTAAGGAGGTGCTAATTTAACCTCTGCCTGAGGCTACCCAGCAGAAGCTATGGAGAGATCTGCAGATTCCTCTTCTTTGTTTGGGATTTGGAGGTGCCCAGATGAGGCCCAGCTGTGAAGCAATGCAAGCTGCTGTGGGGCCTTGGGCCTTCTTTTGGATATTCTGGGTCTCTCTGACCCAGCTGCAGTTTGTTAGGTAATTTTAGATTGCAAAGGGCCAGGTCATTCATATGCAAAAGCCTCTGCGCACAGCTTGGGTGGGGCGGGGTCTCAGGGAATCAACAGGGCGGAGCAAACAGCTATGGCCGATCCTCAGTCCTGCCCTAAGAGGTCCAGGGTCTCGGTGTCCCGCTGTAATCGCTGCAAGCACCTCTGCGAGAAAGCCGCCCTCAAGTTCCACCTGCTGCCAGACAGTCCAGTTTCTCCCCATATGAGTCTGGGTCCCCAGAGACTCACCCGGAACTGGAGTTCAGAGCAGTCGGGGGCTTGTGACTCCCTCCCGATTGAAAAAGACAACCAAGTCCTCAGTTGCCAGCCCTTTCCCCATGCGCCTCCGGACCTCTGCACTTTACTTCTGCACCTCCTCTGAGTCTCAGTGTGCTTTTCTCTTTCCTTCTAGTTATAGAATTTCCACTCAGCCAGCCTCCTGTGGTTCTGGATGATGTCCGTTTTGTCTTTTAGTTGTATTTCTGAAGTGGTTGTGCGAGGCATCAATTTCAGGTGTTTACCTATGCCACCATCTTAGTTTCTCCATCTAGAGCTCTCATTTTTATGAAGCTAGCAAGCTCAAAATTTTTTGTCTTCAGAGTCTCTGGATTTGCCAAGAAAACATTTTTTGATAGTTAAAGGTTCTTTGTAAAATGATGAGACCTCATACCCTAGCAGTCCCTGCCTGGCCTGAAGTTTGATTCTTGTCAGATGATTTTGCAGAGGCAGTGATGGTGCACCGGGCTCTGGGCTTAACATTTTGAAGTATTCAGATTCTATAGGTTAGTTTGGGTCTGAGAGTGGTGAAATTCAGATTTCTTTGCTCCTCTTTTCAGATGCTCTTCATCAGATCTTTAATTAAAAAAAGAAAAAAGCAGAAGCCCTCACTCACACAGAAGCAGCTGTGAAAAGTGAAACTGTGAAGGGACCTCAGCAGCACTAGTGTGTCTCTACCCGGTGTTTCTCTGACTCGCCTTTCTGCTAAGTCAGCTCCACACACTAAACTTTGCTCTCTTCTCCCCAAGTGCCTCCATGCCCAGCGGTCCTGTGAGCAGCCCTGGGAGCATCCCCACCACTGTGCCCGTGCAGATCCCGAAGCCCAGCAGGGTCCAGCAAGCCCTTGCAGGTAGGCATGCTGCTCTCGGGCTCTGGGGTCTGGAACAGACTGTGTTTGGCAAGACTTAGGGGCAGTGGGAGGAGATTGTGGGGTGAGGGTCGTTACCCTCTGTGTTCTTATGGAAACCCAAATGGGCTCCTTCGAGGGGCCAGTGCCTCTTGTCAGTGATGGTGTACACCTGGTAAGTGAGCCTGGGGCACCCTTCCTTTCTCTCTTAGGGGATGGGTACCCTGGTGTGGACCTTTCCCTATCTTTAAAATTCAAAAAGATTCTTTTTAATTTATTAATTTCTATGGGGGTCGGGGACAGAGAGAGAGAGAAACATCAGTTTGTTGCTCCACCCATTTCTGTTTTTTTTTGGTTGACTAGAGGCTCGGTGCATGAAATTTATGCACTCGGTGGGTGGGGGTCCCTCAGCCTGGCCTGCGCCCTCTCAGGGAATGTCCAACCAATGGCTTATGCCTGGCAGTCGGACATCCTTAGCGCTGCTGTGGAGGCGAGAGAGGCTCCCACCACGCCGCTGTGCTTGCCAGCCATGAGCCTGGATTCTGACTGAGTGGCACTCCCCCTGTGGGAGTGCACTGACCACCAGGGGACAGCTCCTGCATTGAGCGTCTGCCCCCTGGTGGCCAGTGTGCGTGTCATAGTGACTGGATGATTTGCATATTAGCCTTTTATTATATAGGATTCTTGTATGTGCCCTGACCAAGGACACTGCTCTAACCAACTAAGCTCCTGGGCCAGGTGCCATCTTTTAAGTTTTCACATCATCTTGAATTATGTTTCAAGAATCACGTTCCTATCCTGAAATGCATTAGTCATTTCCTTAAAGGGGCCTCTGGGAAAGTTCCAGAACTATTTTGGCTGGAGTGACATTATGAATAACTGGCTTTTGTGTCTAGCTAGATCTTTTGTTAACCATACATCTTGGAACTGTTTTTTAAGTTCTTTTTATAGATGTCATGGAGGCACTAAAAGTTGTTTTTTACCTTATGAGAAATATAAAGTGCTCTAGAAAGGTAGATTCAATGTAGTGAACCTTCGTCATGTAAAGGTCAAAACGGGAATAAGATCAGCGGAGTGTATGTGTTAGGTGAGTTGCTGTGATAACATGGGGAAGACAGTCCTGGAGGCAGGGAGACCCTTGTGGAGTCTGACTTCATGCCTCAGGTAAGCCAGCCAAGGCCCAGTAGTGCTGTGACAGTGGGATGGAGGTAAGAGCTCTGAATTGGTGATGGACCTGATTGTGAGAGAGAAAGGCTAGAACAAGGCCTGGTGTACAGCTGCTGATGGCAGTGCTGTAAGAAATTATTAGTGAGGGTTCACTAGGAGCTTTGTATGTGTGTTGATTCACTTCATCCCAATCATAGCTCTGTGGGGTGGGAACTTTATTCCGATTTTACACTTGAGGAAACTGAGGCTCAGAGAATTCCAAAACTTCTCTAGGTCAGCCAGCCTCTCCTTGGAGAGCGGGATGCAGCTTCAAGCATTCTGTCCTCAGAATCTAGCCTTTCAGCTGTTACACTGTGCTGCTCCTGAGTCTGGTGGGAACTTTGGGAGGGGAAGGGGGCAATGGCTGGTATAGATAGATGGAACTGGCCTAAAGGCAGTGGGATTTTGGATGTGCAGCTCAGACAAGCAGTTCAGGGTGGCCTCTTCCTCCCATGGAAGTGTGTGAGCTTACAGGGACCATGGGCGGGACAATGGGAAGAAGAGCCCTTGAAGGAAATGGGAGGATCAATCAGGAAGGTAATAGGAGATGGGAGAGTGGGTCTGGGAAAGCCCCAGGAGGGGAGGCCTTGCCCTGCAGGCCCGCTGGCTCCAGCTTCAGCTGTTCAGCCATTAACCCTCTGCCAGAACAGAGAACAGTGAGCAGGGTGGTGACTAGAAAGTTCCTGCCAGTTTAGGTCTTCTTGTGACATCAGCTGCCATGGATGAGTCAGACTTGTGTGTGTGCGTGTTCGCCTGTGTGCATGTGTGTGCGTGCATGTGCGTGCGTGCATGTGTTTGGTGGCAGTCTTGTTGAAGAGAGGCTGTGGGTGAACAGTCTTGGCCTGCACGTTACATGGCTCCATTCCTCTCTCCAATCACTAAGGTTTTAACACACGTTATAAGAACCTCCAGAAGTGGTCTAGGTATTGAGTAGCTCTAGTTCCCTTTCTGCTACTCTTTTTTTTTTTCTTTCTTCTACTCTTGAGGCCGAGAACCATAGCATCTTTACTATAGACATTTTTGCCACCTAACTATTTGGCCATAAGGCAGTTTTGCCATAAAAAAGGTAAAATAACTGGTTGACATGTTTTGTTTTGGTTGGTTTGGTTTCTTTTTTGTTTAGTTGGTTTATTTCTCCATTGACAAAGTACTTAAATATAGTGATGGTTAAAATAGCATTTCTTCCAGATGATGATGATTTGCCCCGAGAGATAGTTGGTTTCTTATTTTGGAACACACAACATTGGGTAGAGAAAGAGAGTTGAACCCATATTTCCCATAGGACAAAGACAAGTAAGTGCTCAGGTACAAGCCACAGAATAAAATCAGGTATTGGTGCAGTGCCTGATTTTATTCTGTGGCTTGTACCTGATGAACCTGCACACATTTTAAAGGTGTAGTCAAATGGCCCTGGCTGGTGTGCTCAGTGGTTAAAGCACTGACCCACACAACAGTGTCACGGGTTCGATTCCCGGTGAAGGGCATGTACCTGAGTTACAGGTTCCCTCCCTGCCCTCTGGACGGGGCACATGTGGGAGGCAATCAGTTGATGTATGTCTCTCACATCAATGTTTCCTCCCTCCCTCTCTCCCTCCCTCCCTCCCTCCCTCTCTCCGTCCCTCGCACTCTTTTTGAAAGAGCAATGGAAAGAATGACCTCAGATTAGGATTAACACACACACACACACACACACACAAAGGTAGTCAAATATTTTATATTTCACAATACATATTTTTAATGTTATTCCTTTTTTAAAAAAAAATTATTTTATTGATTTTTTACAGAGGGGAAGGGAGAGGGATAGAGAGTTAGAAACATCAATGAGAGAGAAACAGCTGCCTCCTGCACACCCCCCACTGGGGATGTGCCCGCAACCAAGGTACATGCCCTTGGCTGGAAGCGAACCTGGGACCTTTCAGTCCACAGGCTGACGCTCTATCCACTGAGCCAAACCGGTTAGGGCTAATGTTATTCCTTTTTGATGTCCCTCTTTTGTCATGATTTTGTGTTTTTTATGGTCAAATTGCCTAATGTCCAATTAATTATGCAGTGACTGTTTATGGCAAAAATGCTACACTGTCCCCCCTTCCTTGACTCTAAGAGCAGTCCTGGAAGTAAGCGGGTATTTTAACCTTCACTTTCCTTATTGGGGAAACAGACCCCAAGGTTCAGGAACTTGGTCCCCGCTAGAAAAGAGTAGAGACTGGATTGGAGCCCATGGCCAGACGCCACCTACCCTGAATGCAGCCTCTGGCTTATACCTGTTGGATTATTGTCTAGGGCACTGGGGACCAAGAGATCCCAGGCCAGCCCCCAAGAAGCAGGGTCTGGAGAGTGTTCTCTCAGCCTGGACTATGTTTGTGGGTTTGGGAGTATGGATTCAGGCACGGCTGCAGTGAGCTGAGTACTTAGACACAGGGTTGTGCAGGTAGGTCTACAAACAAGTGGCCATACTGTTGGACTGTGCCCCTCTGCACTGGCGGAGGAGATCCACAGAGGAGCCACCTCCAGGCCAGGCCAGGAGTGACAGCCTCAGGTGACAGCTTCACTGGCTGTGGCATGGCTGGCCTCGCTTTTGGGGAGTGGTGGATGCTGAGGCTAGGTTCCCACCCTATGAGGGAGGAGGTGTATCTACATTTTATGCTGCTGTAACCTGCCCAGGACCAGTTATCCAGGGAGGAGAGGTGCTGGGCCTGAACCCTGATTGGTAAGGCCAGAGCCAGAGGAGGATAAGCTTAGACCTGAGCTGGTCACTGGACGAAGGCCGATCTTTGGTGCCAGAAAGGGGTGTTCACGCATCTGCCTGTGTAAAGGCCTGCAGGCTCGGGGGCTCTGACAGATCCGATGAGCGGAGGAAAAGCTGTGGCTCTCTGAGCTGTTACAGTTATTTGGGGATGTTAGGACTTTGGGTGGCTGTCCTGAGCCCTTGCTGTTGGGGAAGATACGATGGTCCGTCTTGGTGTCTCCTGACCATTCTGTCCACCACATGCTGCTTTCCCACTCTTCCACAAGAAGGCAGACCTCTGCAAGCTTCTAAGTGGAGACCCGTGTCTGCACCTTGAATTCAAGAGAATGGGTCCTGCCTTGAAGAGGGCAGAGTGTTGTTCATGTGTGGCCTCTTGGGGATGGTGATGGTGGCCCCAGGGGTAGAGGCCACAGTGGCTGGCATGATAGATCCTAAGGCCCTCTGATTGCCTCTGGAGTGGGCAGCTCTGTCGGCCTTGCTAGGTGGGGAAGTAGGGCTCAGCAGGTCCCGGATCTCCACTTCCTCCCCCAGGCTGTGCCCAGCTCCCTAGCCAGATTCTGAGCATCCAGAATGCCACACTCAGGGAGGTACTCAAAGAGAACCCAGAGCTCCCCTCAGGAGGAGGTGCTTTGAGCGAGACTGAGGACCGGAGGGACTGGGGACGTGCTGCTGTGGACGGCAGAACAGGCTGAGAGGGCGGCAGGAATGGCCACTCCAGTAGGAGGTCGTGCTGTGTTCCAGGGAGTGTTGGACCCTCAGGGAGTGCTCAGGGAGCAGTGTGGGATGAGGGTCAGTTAAGAGGCGGGTAGGACAGGTGGAGCACCTGGCTGAGGAGTGAGGCCTCCCCCTGCAGGCACCAGGAAGTATGACAAGAATGGACATCCATCTCAGCTGGGCCGCCTGCTATAGCTCCCTCCCCCTGTGGACATGCCCACCCAGGGCCGAAGGGCTATTTAAGCCTCAGCTGAGGTTACCAGAAGAGGAAGCCATGGCTTGGGACTTGTGCTGCTCTAGAGGAGCAGTCACCTGGGCCATGGGGACACCGTCGTTGAGGAGTAGGCTCAGGGTCAGCTTTCCTGCTTGCCCACCCCAGCAATGGCACTGAAGCCACTTAGACCAGCGGTTGCCAACCTTTCGGACCTCACAGACTACCAGTGGTCCACGGACCACTGGTTGGCGACCGCTGACCGCAGTCCGGTTAGGGTACAGAAAGCATACAGTGCTCCCTGGAGGCAGTGACTGGGAGCTAAGGGGGTGTGCAGGGAGAACATGGGGAGGATTGTGAGCTTTAGAGTCCCTCCATGTTTCCGTAGCTTGGCTGCACCCTTCCATGTTGCCCTTCTGCTCTTTCTCCGTGCCTGGCATGGGGAGACGCCACCCGAACTGCTCAGGAGGCTTCCTAGGGTGGCACTGTGCCCTACGTCCTCCTGAAGCAAACGGCCTCACCCTCCTGCATGCTCTGGGTGCAAGCTGATCAGTTGCTTGGATAGATACCTGTGGAACTTGGGGCCAGGACTCCAATGAGCCAGGCATCTCACTGGCTTGCCTGGAGCTTTGCCCTGCCAGCCTGGATAGGTCCTGGAAGCCTCGAGCCTCCAGATTCTCCAGGGAGACCAGTGGGTCCTGATGGCCGTTCACAGTGCTACCTGGACTCAGCTGGGGTTTGTGGACATCACGCACTGATTGACTCCTCCTAATGTTTCTCCCCTCTGCATGTCTGATCTCACACCCCGTGTAGGCATGACGAGTATTCTGATGTCAGCCATCGGACTCCCTGTGTGTCTTAGCCGCGCACCCCAGCCTGCCAGTCCTCCCGCCTCCTGTCTGGCCTCTAAAAGTCACAGCTCAGTTAAGAGATTGAGGAAAATGTCCATGAAAGGTAGTTTCTGCTCACAAATACTCTCTGGCCTCTGCTCAGCCGCCTCCAAGTCTTGCTGCCTCTGACTTCCGCATCAGTCGCTCTTCTCTGACTCCCATGGCCCTTCTCCGCTTCCTTCACCTGCTGGGACGTGGGCCCCGAGCCCTTCTCCCCGCCGTCCCCGAGTTCAGGGAGACTCTGAACTGTCTCCCTGGCACAGACGGCAAGGTGTGGGGTGAGGCCTGCTCCAGGATGAGGGATAACTCTGTCCCTTCCTTGGGGCCAGTGTGTGTCTCAGGAAAGGCCCCCAGACCTGTCTGGCCCACCGGGTGGGTCTACTTCACAGGGATCCCCATGACCACTGCCCTGCCCATCACCCTGCTGGGGAAGAAGTGGTTTCAGAACCACTGTGAGTTTTAACAAGATTTGGGTGAGAAGTTCTAAACCTGTCATTTCTAAAGCCGTTTGTGGTTCCAGCTCCATCATGGGGCCAGGGAAGCATGGACTGCTGAGAGCCAGTGACCTTCGGGATGATGTGAGCAGAGAGCACGGCCCTGGTTCAGCCAGTCCTGGGTTTTGTCTTGGTTCCAGCACTCACCAGCTTTGTGATCTCACGCAAGTGTCTCCTCCATTCATGAGCCGAAGCCTCCTACTTAGCAGATTGGTTGTGGGAGGAGTAGACGGTATACACAGGAAGCACCTGACACATATTGGGATGGCTGCTCTGATCATGTCCACCGCCTGTCTAACCGGCACCCCCTAGGACAGATGAAAGGCCCAGGGAGGGGGCAGGGCTTTACCTACCCAGCCCCACCCCACTCCCCCCCTCACCCCCAGCAGTCCAGGCAGGCTCAGGTCCTGACTCCAGTCCAGTTCTTCCTCTCCTTGGAGGTGGAGACAGACAGGTCTGTGGGCAGGCAGGCCAGCAGCCTTCCGAGGCACTCGGGTTTGCCTGAAAGAACACTTAGGCTCTTGGCAGACCTGGCCTTGTTGGGCTCAGATGTCCCTTTCGTGGGGTTGGCTGGCTCCCTTGGAGAAATGTGGCGCATGGGAAGCTACCTTCAGTTAGAGAGGCTGCCTGGGCCGGGCGGGTAGGTGGGGAGTGGGATGCTGAGCTGCGCCGCACCAGAAGCGGGCCAGTGACTGGTCCTGGTGGATGGGCTCCTAAGCTCATCTGGAGACTGGCCTGTAGCCACCAGGTTTTTCTTAGCGGCTCCTCCCACAAATCTGAATAGTCTCCGATTCCAGGACAGCCACCCAGTGTTGGTGGTCATTGTGCTTTGGCCTGGCTTTCTCACCAGAGTCAGGTCCTCGAAGTTTGTGAGTGTCTGTGCATGTATGGGTATGTATGGGAGGAGAGGGGGCTTATTGGTATGTGTGTGTGGGGGCGTGTAGAGTATGGTATTCTTTTGCCTGCAGCTGCCTTTCAGGTAATAACAGCTAATGCCTTTGTAGTTGTCAGCTTTGGTCGGTATTAGGTCTCCACTGTTTAGACGAGGTAGCTGAGACTCAGGTAGCATGATTAGGTCCCAGCACAAGAGCCAGACATTGCCTGACCCCAGCCTATCTGCTCCCCTCACAACTGTCACCTGCTGCTGTCTCTGCTCCTCTTCCTCTGCCTCCGGGGCTCCTGGGGCGGGGCTCCCAGTGCGTGGGCCTGGACAGGGCTCAACCAAGCAGAGCGCTGTGCTCCCTAGGCCTCTGGTCTAGAGGGAGCTCAGCGTTTGAAGCCTCAGGCATGTAAGTCTTTGCAGCCACAAACGGATGGCCATGAGCTTGGGCTCAAGCCACAGCCCTTTGGTGTTGGAGGCGAGGAGCTCCCCAGTGACCTTGAGGCAGGATGAGGAGCCCTGCAGGACTGTGTTCCCAAGTTGCCCTGGTCTCCCTGGCCCCTCCTCTCTGCTCTCGCACAGGCTTTGCTGCCGTTCTCTCTGGTTCTGCCGCTGTCTGTCTGGACCAGCCCCCTGGCTGTATGGATTCCCTCTTGTCCTTGGGTGAGGCCTGTTGGTACGGGGTCAGTGGTTGTGTGGGTGCAGGGCTCCCCTCCCAGCCTCTTGCACATGTACACAGAGGAATGGGAGGTTTTGAGAGGAGCAGGTGGCCAGGACACCCTTCCTGCTGCATATCTTGGCTGCTTCCCAGATCACTCGCCTTAGGGACCGAGTAGGTGTGTCACTAAGATTCCACAGTCCGGGGACAGACTCGAGAAGACGTGGCAGCTTATTGTGACAGTGTCAGTGTGGCCGTCGTCTGCAGTCAGCGTACACACAGACGCTCACACGGGGTAGGCACCCGCTACACACTAGCCTCATAAAACTTCTCTTACCGAGACTTTATTACAAGAATAATGAAACTGGAGTGAAATCACACTGCCAGCACACGCTCCAGAATAATTTGTTCTAAAAACTGCTGTTTGACTTTTCCGCACGTCCTCCAAGGAGCCTGGGTCTGGTTTCCTGACCGAATGTGCACAGGGGCCTGAGGGCTGTGACCAGCTGTTGTCTCTGCTCCTCTTCCTCTGCCTCCGGGGCTCCTGGGGCTGGGCTCCCAGTGCGTGGGCCTGGACAGGGCTCAGCCAAGCAGGGTGTTGTGCGCCTGGCTCCAGGTCTCCCCTCTTGCATGCTGACGTTCCTCTCAGCCCTCCTAACCCCTCCTGGCAGCTTGGACTTCTCCCTTGTCCTCCTTTCTCTGTGGTTTCAGCATCTCCAGTTCTTACTCCTTGGGACACAGCTGATGCTCTCTTCTCTTCTAGGAGGGACTCCAAAGCCAGAGCCCGAGCAGGTGATAAGAAACTATACTGAAGAGCTGAAGACAGCCCCAGATGAGGTAGGTGCACAAGAGGCAGGCTGCTTGTAGTTTTGTTTGGAAACAAGGGGCAGCTCCAGACAAGAAGGCCGCCAACCTGGTCTGTGCTAGAAGGGCACCTCCGATGCCTGCACCATGCTCTGGGCACTTGGGGTTAATCTCCCAAGATGAGGCGGCTGCAGCTTTTAAAACTTAGATTTCAATCTTAGCTTTGTCACAAACAAGTGTGATCCTGAGCAAAGCTCCTCGCTTGCTGTCCCGGGCTCTGTGTAGTCCTGTGCCGTCCTGGGGGTTGGGAATCTTGGAGACAAGCAATGGGAAAACCTGCCCCATTCCCCGAGGGCTGACGCTGGTGGACAAGGGACGTGGCCTTGCCCAGATAGCAGTCCTACCCCTTGGCTGTGGGAGAGCAGGTCAGGGTTCCTGTAATTAACAGGGCCTGCCAGACCCTGTTAAAGCGCCAGTAGGACCCGAACCTCTCTCTCTGCTGAGCCACATTGAGGGGCCGTGAGTGCCACTTGTCTCTGATTTGATGGAGAGTCCTGAGAATCTGGAGGAGGTGGGCTAAATGTCAGTCCTTCCAGTACAGAACCGAGGACTCTTCACTGGCCTGTTTCTCCTGCAAGTCGAGTACGTGAGAAACATACGGTCGGTAAAGGTTTAGACAGAAGCCTAAAAGGCATCCTTGTGTCTCCCACCCTCTCTCCAGTCCTCTCTGTTCCCCCTTCACAGCACTAATTTTTCTTTCTTTTTGCCTTTGTGCTGAAAACCCCTCCACGAGGCCTGATAGATAAGACAAAGCCCCGACTCCTGAGCATGATCAGAAGTTTCTAGGACCTGATCCTCACCTGTCTTGTCTCATCTACACCTTGTTCACCCTGCCCCCCATAGGTGCTACCACCCCTCCCAGACTATACGCTGGTTTATGCCTCAGATCACTCTCTCCCCTGTAGCCGGAACGTCCATTCCCGCTCTTACCCATCCAACAAGTTCCCCTTTCCTTGTAAACCCAGCTTGGAGGGCCTCTCCTGTTTTCTTCTCCTCTATCTGGCTGTTCCTGCTGCTGTGTTGGCCTTTGCTTCTGTTCCTGCACTGGCCCCTGGCTCATTGCTGCCTGTCCTTTCTCCTACTACGGTAAGCCCCTGAGGGCACAGATCCCAGTGACTCATCTGTTCCCAGCCTCTGGAACAAATGACTGTTGAATTGACTTTGACTGTAACTCTGGCAGGTCAGCAGATGAAGGCCTTTTCCTACAAGTCTCGCCTCTGGGTGCAGTGTCTCTTTTGGCGAACGTTCCCTGTGTTGGTCCCCCTCCAGGACTGCATCATCTGTATGGAGAAACTGTCCATGGTGTCTGGGTACAGTGACGTGACCAACAGCAGGACCATTGGACCAGTGGCTGTAGGCCGCCTCACCAAGTGTAGCCATGCCTTCCATCTGCTCTGCCTGCTGGCCATGTACTGCAATGGAAATAAGGTGCCTACATGCTGACCCAGGGTGGGGGCAGGGGTGACCTGTCCCGGTCATCCTGCATCTGAGCAGGTGACTGTAGCTGCCTTGTGAAGGACCTGGGGTGTGCTCAGAGGCAGCCCCTTCCCTGCAACAGGATGGAGTTGGGGGCTGGGGGTGGCGGGTGATGTCTGGCTGCTCTTCCTTCAGTGGCGTTTAGCCAGAATGGACAGAGGTTGGGAGGACGGAGAGAACTGAGACATGTGGCGGACCTTCAGGCGTGGCTTGGCCTTTCTCCACAGCATCCCTGTGTATCCTGTACCAGTAGGGTGCCAGCACCAACAGTTGATCAGTCACAGGTTTCTTGCTTGACTTGAAATGTGAATAGACTGTGGGGACTTTTGTTCATAAACCTGATTTTTCTACCTGATGCCAGTCTCCTTTAATGAAAATTATATAACGAGTTTCTGGTACAAAACTTGTCTTTCTAAGGAAGCTGTTGGAATCAAGTTTCTGTGTGAGGAGGCTGCCTGGGAGTGGGGCCACCTGCCCAGACCCGATGTGTGATATCAGCCGACCTGCCCCCCTGCAGGCCTCCTTCCCATCTAGATGGTGGGTGGCTGTGCCTAGGTGCTCCCTCGGGGCCTCCAGCTCAGTGTGTGGTGTTCTGCATTGTCTCAGGATGGAAGTTTACAGTGTCCTTCCTGCAAAACCATCTACGGAGAGAAAACTGGGACCCAGCCTCGGGGGAAGATGGAGGTGTTCAGCTTCCAGGTATCCCTCCCTGGCCACGAGGACTGCGGGACAATACTCATAGTTTACAACATTCCTCATGGCATTCAGGTAAGGGCCCTGGCAATGAGGAGCCTCCTGGGATCTGCCTGGAATCAGCCCTCTCCCAGCAGTCTGTCCCCTGTCACTGTGGGGATGTCTAGGTTGCCAAGTTCAGGCCTCCAGGAACCAGGAGGCACTAGTGCAGGGGGTTACAGCAAGCTCTTAGGAAGCAAAGATGGCCCTCAGCTCCTTCCTGAGATAGGGAAGGCTTCCTGGAGGCAGAGACGTCTTAGCTGGATCTGTACTTGGCAGAAGGTCAAGTGTATAAGCAGGAAGAACACTTGTGTTGGGGGGCAGGACCCTCTTGGGGCCACAGGACGGGACGGGGAGGTGCCAGCAGTGAAGACTGATGGAGAGACAGGCTCAGTAGCCAGATGAGGCTGGGTTGGGAGTGACAGGGCTGAGTCTCGATGTCAGAAACAAGACAAAGATCCTAGCAGAAGGCCGCAGGATCCCAGTGGAGACCCAGATAGGAGCACTGGCCCCTCAGGCCTCCTTCTGTGGGCCAGGATTGATCTCAGAGCCTGGGGCAGTTTGGAAAGATGCAGGGCAGTGGGGACCAGGAGTCCGAGGGGGCCCATCCCTCTATTTTGTTTAACCATGTGCTCTTCCCTGGTTGCCTTCTACTTCTTCTCCTTGGCTGAGAGTGAAATTTTAAAGCATTCTAGGCAGGGTTGGAACCATAGGGCCAGTGGGAAACTTGTTGCTATACGTGACGCGTCACTGTGTGTCAGAGGACAGGAGCAAGGGCTGTGCAGACCACACTCCTGTGCAGACCACGGCCACTGTCTCAGGGCCCTGCTCCAGCCACCTCTAGAGTGAAGACTGGAGGGGCCTCTGTGCTGGAGTGAGGGTGTCCTGAAGGCTGGCAGACGCGCTGCCCAGTCCAGAGAGCCCCGTGCCTGGAGGATTGCCGAAAGAAGTAGGAGCCTCCGTCCAGCCTCTGAGGGGTTCTGTTCTCATCAGGGAAATAGAAGAAGTTAGGAGTGTCTGGTGCCAGGCGGAGTAGCATGCATTCAGGGAGGGCAGCCATGTTCACGTTGGGTCTTCTAGGGGCAGGATTTGAGAGAGGCAGCCATTTATTGGGCCACTTGAGCTTAGGAACAGCCCCAGCCAGGAGGGTAAAGGGGTGAGGCTGGGCCTTGCATGTTTTGTGCAGTTCTAGTGGGTGAGCCCCTCTCGGAGCACCCCCACTCCCTTGTTTGTGTTCCTCCTGCAGGGCCCTGAGCACCCCAACCCCGGGAAGCCGTTTACTGCCAGAGGGTTTCCCCGCCAGTGCTACCTTCCCGACAATGCCCAGGGCCGCAAGGTAAAGCCCCATGCCACCCTTGGGAAGGGCCGCCTGCTGGCAGGCCTGTGCCAAGTGCTGGTCCAGTGCAAGGCCACTCCCTTCCCAGGAACCCTGCTGTGGGCTGGGCATCCTCAAGGTGCCGGGAGTACCGGGTCGTACTTTCCTGGGGCGTGGGGAGGAGAGACTGTCTTCGAGCAGCCTAGTGGGCCAGGTTGTGCCGCTGCACTGATACCTGAGGTAGGACTTTCCTTGCCTGTGGGAGACAGAACAGCTAGTGTGACAGCTTTGAGATGGGAACAGGCTGGGAAGATGTGAGGAGCCTGAAGGAGGACCAAGTGGGTGAGTGGGAGTGAGGTGCACAAGGAGCGAAGGTGGCTGCTGGCCTGTGGGACTGGGGCTTTAGCCTAAGCACTGCATGATGCCATGAGGTGAGGGTGTGTCAGCAGAGCTGTAGAAGCTGCAGATTTTAGGTTTGAGAAAGCTGTCTCTGCTGCTGTGAGAGGATGGACTCCAGGTGGCTGCGTGTGGAGAGCAGCAGGAACGGGAGAGAGCAGGGAGCCTGGATTCGATGGGGAGGGACAGAAGGAAGCTCATCCGGGATGTACTTGGAAGTAGGGACTAATCAGGTGTCAGGGGCTGAGCAAATGGCAGCACTGTCTGAGGTGGGAGGGCCAAGACTTGAGTCATGGAAGTGCTCAGTGTGAGGTCCATTGGACTGTCAGAACAGCAGTTGGCATTCCAGAGGGGTCAGAGTTAGCGCTAAAAGCTGGGGACCCCCACAGATGGGATTTCATCTGGGACTGTGGATGACACCACTTAAGGTGACAACAGAACAGAATGGAGAGAAAAAGGGCCCAGCTCCCAGGGACCCTGCTGGTGGTTAATGGCACATGTTGAATGAACCAAGGTCCTAGCATGCAGCACCGACACAGCCCACAGCTGACATTGGTGGGTGGCTGGTGCTGCTGACCTCATCCTTATTACTGGGGCAAATTAGGGGAGGGCAGTGGGTGCTCCCACCTTGTCTCCTGGCAACCTCTTCCCCAGGGTGGAAAAACCTGTGAAGGCCAGGGCTTATTCACCTTTCCTTCCCCCTCACTTCCTCTTCCTTCTCTTCCTCCTCCTCCTGGGGCAGGTCCTAGAGCTGCTGAAGGTGGCCTGGAAGAGGCGACTTATCTTCACAGTGGGGACGTCCAGCACCACAGGCGAGACGGACACGGTAGTGTGGAATGAGATCCATCACAAGACAGAGATGGACCGCAACGTGACAGGCCATGGCTACCCGGACCCCAACTACCTGCAGAATGTGCTGGCTGAGCTGGCTGCCCAGGGAGTGACTGAGGACTGCCTGGAGCAGCAGTGACCACCAGCTGGCAGCCAGCCGCCCATCCCCACTGCTGGCTGGGCTGCTCTTGAGATGGACCGGCAGGAAGGTGCTTTCCGCAGGAGCTGGCATGTTTATTGGGGGGTGGGCATTTTCCACCGAAGCTGGGGCCTCTCCTGTTTGCCTTTCCTCCTTCCTCTTCCCCTCCAGGCCTGGATTTGCATGGGAATCCCCAAGCCTGGGGAGTTGAACTTGTGGGGGCGTAAGATGCAGCTACCTCAGTGCGGGGCCTGGCATGGGCTGAGGAGAGACTGCCCCACCCCTAGCCAGGGGCAGGCATGGGTCTGGGTCAGCTTCTCATACCTCAGATGTTCTGTTTGCAATAAATGTCCAATAGCCAAAGTCAGCAGGCCCTAGTGTATTTGTCAGTGGAGAGGATGTGTGTGTATATGTGCACACGCGTGCATGTGCGTACGAGATGTATGAAGGCCTGCACACACGTGTCCTGCTGGAAAGGACCTATGAGCTGCCCATTCAACTCCCATTTCCTAAATGAAGGAACAGGCTGCAGTGAGCCAGAGAGCCCATGCACTGACCTGTGCTGCTTCCCCATCCCCCACTCCGGTCCTTGTACTGTGGAGTCCAGCAACTCTGAGCCCACCATCCTATTACTTCCCCAAGTTCTGGGCAGCACTGCTCATAGGAGGCAGGTGCTGCTGCCTCCATTTTACAGATGGTGAAACTGAGGTTCAAGGATATAGTGACTGGCCCAAGGTCCCAGCTAGTGGTAGAGCCAGAGCTGGAATCCGGGACAGGATTGGTCTGATATCATCCTCAAAGTCATTATCCTTCTGAACCCTCTCAGAAAGAGGATCACATACCCTCAGACTCGCTGTCTGCCGGGGGTGGGGTGGGGTGGAGTGCTTGTGGCCTGAGCCTGGCGGCGCACACAGCTGCACTTGGGCCAGGGCCAATTTTGCCTTTGTGGATCCTTTATAAGAAAAATGTTAGCCTTGGCCAGGTGGAGTGTCATCCTGTATACCAAAATCTTGTGGGTTTGATTCCCGGTCAGGGGACATACCTAGGTTGTGGGTTTCTCCCTCTGAAATCAATAAAACCGTATCCTTGGGCGAGGATTAAAAGAAGAAGAAAAATTGTGCCCGACTGGCGTGGCTCAATGGTTGAGCATCAACCTTGAACCTATTCCCAGTCAGGGCACACGCCTGGATTGTGGGCTCGATCCCCAGTGTAGGGCATGCAGGAGGCAGCCAATCAATGATTCTCGGCCATCATCGATGTTTCTCTCTCTCCCTCTCCCTTTCTCTCTGAAATCAATAAAAATGTGTTTAAAAGAAGAAAAGTTAAATTCTGTTTTATGATGTGTTGATATAAAGACGAAAATATGTTTGGGCATTTTCTTCCATTTAGAAGTTTATTTCGTTCCCTTCTGATTTTAAAAGAAACTAGGACTTTTCCTGGGCCCCTGAATGTATTGTGGGCCCTGGGCACTGCCCACGAGCCTAATGGGGAGCTGGTCCTAGGGAGGGCAGGGAGGCCTGGCTGCCCCCCAACCTGTTTGGTTCCACAGTGAGACCCACTCCACAGGCTCACAGGGCTCAGGAGCTGGGTGGGCACCTGCTTGCTGCTGCCCTCTTGACTCCCACCATTGAAGGATAATGAGAATCCGAAGGGGAGAACATGTTTGCAAATCATCTACCTGATGAGGGCCTAGTACCCAGACTGTATAAGGAACTCAACAAGAAGAAAAATACCCTTTTTTTTTAAAAAAAGCAAAGCACTTTTCTCTAAAGAAGATATGCAGATGGCTGACAGGCACATGAAAAATGTTCAGTGTCATCAGGGAAACAAAACCACAAAGTGATAGATACCATGTCGTGCCCAATGAGAATGGTTATTACAAAGAAAAGGGAAAACAGCAAATGTTGATGAGGACGTGGAGAAACCGGAGCCCTTCGCTGCTGGTGGATGTGCAATGGCCCCGCTTTGCGAATGGTGGGGCAGTTCCTCAGAAAGTGGTTGCCATGACTCAGCCGTCCCGCTCCTAGGTTCACATCCAAGCCCTGGAAACATGTCCAAACCAAAGCTTGTTCACCACTGTTCTAGCAGCGTTATTCATAATAGCCAGAAGGTGGGGAAACCCAACTGCTCAGCTGATGAATGGCTAAACTAAATGTGGTCTGTCCATACCGTGGAATGATCCTTAGCCGTAAAAAGGAAGGACTGACCTACGGCAGCATGGATGAACCCTGAAAACATGATACCAAGTGAAAGCCAGACATGGCAGGCCGCATCCTGTGTGAAATGTCCGGAATAGGCAAATCCAGGCAGAAAGTGGGAGTGGTTCCCCGAGGGGAGGGAGGGGGAGTGACTTCATGGGTACTGTGTTTGTTCTTGAAATGAAAAATGTCTGGAATTAATGTTGATTGCACAACCTTGTTAATATACTAAAAACCAGTTAGCTGTGCACTTTAAAAGGATGAATTTTATAATATACTAGCCGCCCAGTACACAAAATTCATGCACATTAAAGGGGAATTAATTAGAGGAAATATTTTAATATTGCTATTTGCCCTTTCTTTATAATAGAAGTGCCGGAGATGAAAGAAAATTGGTAAAATGTATATGAAAATCTTCCTCCTGTCAGAGTCTGGGGCACGCCACAGGACCCAGAGTCAAGTCCCCACCCACCTGCGTGCACCTCGAAATTGCGCGAGACCCAGACCCGGCCGGCCCCACCCCCATTGGCGAGGTCCAGACCCAGCCAGCACCACCCCCATCAAGCCCCACCGGGCAGGGGGTGCAGCCTCAGGTTCCCTGGCCCAGCGCCAGACAGGGGGTGCAGCCTGAGGTTCCCCCATCAAGCCCTGCTGGGCGGGGGGGCGCACCCTCAGGTCCCCTGGCCTGGTACCAGTCGGGGGGTACAGCCTCAGGTCCCCCGGCCCAGCACTGGGGCGGGAGGCACAGCCTGAGGTCTCCCATCAAACCCCGCTGGGCAGGGGATGTGGCCTGAAGTCACCCTTCAAGTCCTGCTGGGCCAGGGGTACAGCCTCAGGTCCCTGCTGATTGCTCCTTAAGGCTCATGATGAGAACGCTGCCTTCGCTGTGGGCGCAGCCATCTTGTGATGGCATGGCGGAATGAGGGTCAATTTGCATATTACCTATTTATTATATAGGATGGATTATATCTTAGTAAAAAATATATATGGTTTATATATTTACAGTTGTGAGTGAGCAAAGCAGTTTATTCTTGAATTAACTATTGACGAACAACTGTAAACCTACTTTTGCCCCACCCATGTATGTAGTGAGAACCAAAGGGAATAATGTAAGTGGGGGCTTGTCAGCTGTCAGGGGCTCTACACACCTTTCTCCGAGTTCTTCCCTCGGACAGGGGAACTGAAGAACCAGGGAGGATGTGGCCCCAGGAGGGCCAGGCGGGCTGTGGTGGGGTTGGAGCTGGACAGGTTGGAGCTGCCCCAGGCTTGCTCCTGGGTGGGGTCGGAAGGCCAGAGGTTGTCTCCTGGCACCTGGGGTGCAGGAATCTCAGGCATGTGGCCCTGAGCCCAAGGCTCCAGAGACTGGTCCTCCTCCCCAGGGTTGGGAGGCTGGGTGGGGCCTAAATGCAGACATGGGGCCCTGAGCTCCAGTGGCCTCTCCCTCAGCCCTGGCCTGCCCCACACTAGTGCCCTGCCCAGGCCCCTCCCTGTGGGGGACTGGGCTGAGGGGAGGGGCTGGGTGCATTCATATTTTCAGGTCTTTCCAGCCCTTGGCCAGCCTGGCAGCCTGACTAACCAGCTTCTCCAGGCCTAGGGGTTGGGGGAGGGGTGGAGGCGGCCAGCCCAGCCCCAGGCTGTGGCTGTGGTAGAAGGTGGCTGTCATGGTGCTCCGCCAGAGGCAGCCTCACTCACGGCTGCTGTGCCTCTTGGTGGCGCTGGTCTGGCCCCAGCCCTGCACGAGCCTCGGTGAGTGGGGGTCCAGGGATTGGGTGCACCTGCCCAGACCCAAGGGGCTGGGGCACCTGCTGGTGTGATTGGACCCTGGGAGCCCACATCCTCTAACTGGGAGAGGCAGCCCCAGGGCAGGGGGCCCCAGGACCCTCACTCCTCTCTCCACGGCCACAGAGCTGATCCCCTACACGCCGCAGATCACACCCGGGGACCTGGAAGGGAAGGTGACGGCCACCACGTTCTCCCTGGAGCAGCCGCGCTGTGTGCTGGACGGTCATGCCGGGGCTGCCGACACGGTCTGGCTGGTGGTGGCCTTTAGCAACGGTGCGTCCCAGTGCAGGTGTGGGCCTGGGGTGAGCGGTGGGGCTGAGGAAAGCTGCAGGTCTGGGAGCCCCTCACTGTGACGTTCCACAGCTGGGTGTGGATTGGGAGCTGGGCTTTACGGAGAGGGGCCTCAGAGAGGGTGACAAGCCCTGCTTTGTGTCACAGGGGCCCTCTGGGTGCCGAAGGGTCAGGGCTGCAGGCCTTGGACCCAGCCGGGGATTGTGGCGAGGAAGGCCTGGCTTCACTCTCTTACCAGCCCCATCGGTCTGCCCTCCCTTCCACAGCCTCCAGGGACTTCCAGAACCCCAAGACACTGGCTGAGATCCCAGCTTTCCCACAGCTGCTGACCAATGGCCACTACATGACGCTGCCCCTGTCCCTGGACCAGCTGCCCTGCGAGGATCCCGTGGGTGACATCCCCGTGCTGCGGGTGGGCAACGACCCTGACTGCCTGGCTGACCTTCACCAGCCATCCTACTGCAACACCCCCCTCCCTGGCCCCGGACCTTACAGGTGGGTCTCTCTGCCTGGAGCCTGGGATGGGGGCCTGGGAGAGGAGAGGTTTCAGGGACCAGGGTTGCCCTCCCTAGCCTTTCCCCAGGCCCCCATCCTGGCTGCAGGCCTCGCAGGCCCTTTCCATTCACAAACCTTGGCTTCTTCCTCAGGGTTTGGGGTGGGAGGGTTGGGGGAGAGCAGCACTCATCACAGCTGGGCGGCAGGCAGAATTCCAGCTTCCGGGTGGGCCCAGGGGGAAGAGGTGGCACCAGAGCTGGTGGGGTGGGGTGGGGTGGCAGGGCTGCACTCATGGGCCCACTGTTTCTCCCCTGGGTAGATCTGGTGGGAAAGTAAGCACAGGCCCGAGTTCAGACCCAGTCAGTGGGTATGAGGTGGGGAAGCAAAGGAAGAGAGGCACAAAGCACCCAGGGGCTTGCTGAGGTCAGGTTAGAGCCGGGGTAGCAAAGCAGGTGTCCAGACGTGGGCTCCCTGGCCACAGGATGAGGCCAGGTGTCCTCAGGGAGGCCAAGTCCAACTGAGAGAACCGTTCGCAGGGGGGCAGGGAAGGTGGTGCGCTGTGGGCTGGGCCAGCATCTCCATCCGCCTCCCTCCGCC